ATAATATATCAGAAATTTTTTAAAAGAAGACAGACTTTTTCGTCAAAACATATTTTTTTAGCCTTGAATTCCAACATTCCAACAGGAAAAGACATTATGAAAAATGATATAATTGGCTAAAAATGGACGAAAAGTAAAGGCTATATATAGCCTTACTTTTTTGCTGTTTTTTGCCCACTTTTGAAAAATGACATAAGTGGCTAAAAATGGACAAAAAGTTAAGGCTATAACCTTACATTTTGCTGTTTTTTGCCCACTTATGAAAAATGCCATAAGTGGCTAAAAATGGACGAAAAGTTAAGGCTATAGCCTTACTTTTTTGCTGTTTTTTTTGCCCACTTATGAAAAATGCCATAAGTCGATAAAAATGGTCGAAAAGTTAAGGCTATAGCCTTACTTTTTTGCTGTTTTTTGCCCACTTATGAAAAATGCCATAAGTGGCTAAAAATGGACGAAAAGTTAAGGCAATAGCCTTACTTTTTTGCTGTTTTTTTGCCCACTTATGAAAAATGCCATAAGTCGGTAAAAATGGACGAAAAGTTAAGGCTATAGGCTTACTTTTTTGCTGTTTTTTTTCCCACTTATGAAAAATGCCATAAGTCGGTAAAAATGGACGAAAAGTAAAGGCTATATATAGCCTTACTTTTTTGCTGTTTTTTTTCCCACTTATGAAAAATGCCATAAGTGGCTAAAAATGGACGAAAAGTTAAGGCTATAGCCTTACTTTTTTGCTGTTTTTTGCCCACTTATGAAAAATGATATAAGTGGCTAAAAATGGACGAAAAGTTAAGGATATAGCCTTACTTTTTTGCTGTTTTTTGCCCACTTATGAAAAATGATATAATTGGCTAAAAATGGACGAAAAGTAAAGGCTATAGCCTTACTTTTTTGCTGTTTTTTTGCCCACTTATGAAAAATGCCATAAGTCGGTAAAAATGGACGAAAAGTTAAGGCTATAGCTCTACTTTTTTGCTGTTTTTTGCCCACTTATGAAAAATGCCATAAGTGCCTCGGGCCGTCTTTCACAACAAATAACATCACAATAACTGCACATCTTTTTCTCTTTAATACAGAATCATTTTCCCCGTCCATTGAGTTATAATTTCCAAAACGAACCAGTCGCTATAACGTAAAATAAGCGGGTATTTGTGAACAAAAATGCCCTTTGATATAACACGAGGTAACCAGCGCCATCTTGTCTTCTCCAAACATTACAGATTTTCCCGCCAAAACCCGCCCCCAAAGTCCCGTATGTACCTGACGTCACAAGTGTCATGGACGGGGGGGGGGACTACCGCGATATGAAACCGGAACCACAAGTTGCTTTTTTTACTTTATTAATTAATTCATTTTATATTGGACATCAAAGTCCGATCCAACTACGAAACAACTTTATCAATCCGATCCAAAATGAATATTTTGGTTCCGAAATCCGAACAAATCGGATTTGCACACCTCTATTTCATACAGGCGAAATTCTGACCATATACTTTTTATTGGCTAACTTTTTATTGGATCATGGCACTGATCTGCCTCTGACCATTGAAGACTTTGGGATAATCAGGTACACATTTTGCTGATTGTTCATTTTGTTGCTATTTGTGGTTGTTATGGTGATTCAAATATGGCGGACGCGATTAACGAAAATTTCTAAACTAAAGTTATGTTTTCTCTAACAGAACTTCCAAATAACCAGGAAGAAGTCGGAAAACTACTTGTTAGAGTAAGAATGATCCTTGCCTGTCCATTTTAATAGTTTTCTCTGCCAAAAAATTCAAAATAGACGCGTAATTTTGCGTTAAAGATTTTTTGACCTGTTGTTTACATTCTGTTTTCTTGATTGTTTGTCAGGTTCAAGATGATTTAAGGCATCTCAGAGAACAGATTAGCAATGCTGTCGAAGGAAGAAGTGTAGAAAAGTTAGATTTAAAGGGTATTGAAAAGGCTATTGAAAGAACCGAACTTGGAGTTAAGGTATATTGTAATGTTTTTGTGTTAAATGCACAGTTAATATGTAGCTATATTTACCATGTTATATTAACAAAGTGGGTCGAGTTCTTAATTAACCTGGTTTTATTGTATGTTACTATAATATCAAAGAAACATTTTTCACAAGTTTAAAGATACTGTAATTCCTATGAATTCCGTAATGTATTTAAACAAACGCTATGTTTACATTTTGAACTGCTATGATATGATATACTAATTGAATATCTAACCATTTTCTGGTTCGCTATACTTGTAAATGAATATAAATATATGTTTCAATTCAAAAAAATGCAAACTTTGGGCAATGTTTATATCTGAATGAACTTTTCAGCATCTTTAAATAGCTATGTCCAATATAAAATACCATGTGGCAATTATTCTCAAAAGTTTCTCAGAATTGCAGCATGTGAGTTACCTTAGTTTGTGCAACTCAGTCCTTAGGGGCATAGCTGAAACATGTTCCCCTGGAAAATTTATGTATATTTTATAGGGTCTGCAAAAAGTGTAGGGGGGGGGGGGTGCCTCTGCCCTGCATGGCTATACACCTCTTTCAGTTTTTGGAATTTTGCTTTCAATTGGCAGTTACTGTACCAGACAATTTTTCCTTCAAATTGGACAGCATTAAATGCATCCTTAGTACGCTATTTTGGCTTTATCACTGCATGTTGCCTGAAGTTTATTGTTCTGTGTATCAATACTTGCAATGTCAAAACATGTTGCATAAACTGTGTAACAGTTCTTTAATACTATTTTGCATATTTTACCAGAGCAAAGCTTCAAATTATGTGCAAGCTGTCAATAATCAAGTCCTAACACTGCCATCTCTTGAACAAACTGTCTCAAAGAAGAGAGTCGAAGAAAGCAGTGGCAACAGGTACAAACATCATGCTAATATTAGCTAGCTCAACTTCACAGCCCTTGAAACTACTGAAATTTTTCTTGCCAACTTAAGTTCTCGAATGTTTTTGGAACAAATGGACAAATTCCAAAACGTATTTATGAACAGCCAGGAGCGAAACTATTGGGAGGTGTGGCAACCCCCTAGTTTCTATCTTGTCGGGTATGTCCCCCCCCCCTCGCTGGCCAACAATTTTGGGAAAAGAAATATTAATTAGCGACTGAAATATTAATTAGCGACTTAGGCCATGCCCCTGTTGTTGGGCAAAACAAGCTTACACACACCCAGCCGTAATACAGAAGTTTCGCCCCTGTGAACAGCAATCATTGCCGACCAAAACAGGTAGCAAAATGCAGGAACAATCAATAGACAATTCCAGCTGTCGACTAATTTTTTATCTAGACAAGAAAGATGAAATATATCATTATAGCTCAAAAGAGCATCCTAAAATTAGTCGAAAATTGCAAAGTTTGGTTGCGAAATATGCTGTAAAATACGGAAAATATAGCCCTGTGAAATTAGCAAATTTTGAGTATTTTAGTATTATGCGCGGTAAAAATAACCACTTTCGGCTCAAAAATGGTTATTTTGACTGCGCGTAATACTAAAATACTCAAAATTTGCTAATTTCACAGGGCTATACTTTCCATATTTTACAACATTTTGCAACCAAACTTTGCAATTTTACTAATTTTAGGATGCTCTTTTGAGGTATAATGATATATTTCGTCTTTCTTGTCTAGATGAAAATGATGATGTCACTGATAAATGGTACAAGTTGTACAGTATAACACAGTTTATCCAAATTTTATTTTTATAGCCTTGATGAGAAACCTAGTGCCTACCTAAAGAAAGCACATGGAGTTCGACCAAAACAGAGGTAATTTGCAAAGATTCATGTTAATAGTGCTCTTTCAGGGTTCGTAGCGATCTTTGAAATCCTTGAAAGTCTTTAAATTTCAATGCAGGTCTTTAAGGTCTTTGAAAAGTCTTTGAATTGTGTGAAAAAGCGAAGAAAGTCCTTAAAAGTCTTTAAATTCTTTAGTTAGTATTTGATTATACGATTTCCTAGCTAATAAAATAGATTGATTGAAGCAAGATTTTTGCAAATATGGACGAAAAGGCACATTTTAGGATGTGATTTGACGCGACTAATTATTGGGTAAAAATGTTGCTTACACTTGCAATTTTTCAACAGCTGATCGATTGCTCTCAAAGGTCTCTGAAAATAGGCAGCAAAGATATTTGAAAGTCTTCTTTTGTAGTACTCTAAATTCTCGAGATTGATACTCTTTGGTAGTGTATTAGAGATATTTAGTAATCTATATTCAGGGACGCCGGAACGATAGTAGGGCAAAGGGGGGCGGACGCACACCAAGGGTACCGTTACTGAAAAAATTTTTTCACTGCAAAATTTTTTGGCGACCCTCCCCCCCCCCCCCCCCCCCCCCCCCCCCC